TCAGTCCTGGGCACAACTGTGAGAAAACTAAAGGTTTTGTTTTTTTGAAGACGGTCCTAGAATCTTTGGTTTAAAACTTGACCAGGTTATCGGTGACCTCCTGCACGCTCTTGCTGTACACAGGCCTCGGGCTCGGCTAGGAAGGAACGATGATAGCCACGCCGGGTTTGCGCTCCTGGAGGGAGGAGGAATGAGGAGGCATCAGCTCTGAACTGTTAACTAATGAGTTGTTTTTGGAAAAAAAGGTCTTCGGGCTAGTTGTGGAGGGAATGCTCCAGAATGCGTCATGAGATGGTGTTCTCCAAGCACGGGGGCCAGGTGTGCTCTGTTCGGGCCTGGCCTGGGCTGTGGAGGGCGGGATTAGAGGACCGGGGAGAGGGTGCTCCCGTGACCCGAGCTTAGGGAAAGACTCCGAAGGAGCCTCCAGGGTCCACGGCCAAATGTGGCAGGTAAAAGGGGTCCAAGTGCGTTTTTGTTTGTTGCTGCTCCTCAGTCCCTGCTCCGGTTGAGTGAGAGAAAACCCAGCCCTTCCATTCTGGAGCTGGGTCTTTTTGCTCCTTTCACACCGTGTATGCATTTAATTGAGGGATCGTACTTAACTGCCTGCTATCTCTTGGCCTCCTGAGTCATTTTACTCTCAAGCTGATATGCACTTGTGGTTTTAAAGTCTAAAGATTGCTATGTTTGGGCCACAATTAGGATAAATTCTGCATCCTGTTGAAATGTTTCTAGGTCCTTGAATGTACAAGGCACTTGTAGTCAGTAATTTGAAGTAGCAAAGCAGCGATTCTAAAAAGAAATACACAGCTGCTTCCTATGAACACGGGACTCAGCCTCTCCCCGTGCTCCGAAGGTAAGTGGAGGCTCGCCTCACTTCTGCCGGAAGCTCGCTGACCCTGACCCGTGGCATGTAAAGTAGTCGTGGTACCCCCTTTCTACAGATGTGAAAATGAGGCTCCGTTTTAAAACGTGGCTTTAGTTGTGATAGATGGATTTTTCTCCCCCGGCTCCGTGCAACACGCGCCCCCACTCCCAGGCCTGCCGAGTATGTCACTTCTCCTGTCAGGAGGAAATAAAATTCCACTCTAGTCTGCAAAAAGAGACCAGCATGAAGCAGAATGTCGGCACCACATTTTCTAGAACTAGCTATGCCTTAATCATTTATCAGCTGTGGGAGATGTGAGGGGGTGGTGGTGGTTTTTTCTCTTCCAATCAATTTAAGCAAATCTGGAAGGATTCCCATCTGTCCCGGCTTCCTGCGACACTGGCTTTTCCTGTCACACGGTTGTGTCACCTCCAAGGGGTTCCTAGCAGCTGTGCAGGCCACTTCCCTTCCTTCCTCGGGTCACTTCTGTGTCTTTCCTGCAGTCAGCACAGACTGATGTCACCCTCAGAGCTCGGAGCTGGAAACCCGGACTCTGGGACCCAACCCATATTTATTAGAGGCAAGGACGTCTAGGGAAACCTGGCACACAGTCACTTCTTGTCCCCCTCAATCCAGCCTGGTCACACCTGCTTTCCCCGGCCGCCTCGTTTCCAACAAGAAGGGCCATTGTTTCCGGAGAGCTTTCGCAAGGCAGATACTGCCGACTTCTACTGTCAGGGCTGATAAATTGGCCTAGAATGGGTCTCCCCACGAATATAGCAGGGAAATGTGCAATAGGCACCTGCAAGCAAAGAATTTTCCGACTGCAGATTTATCAAAGTAAAAGTAACCCCTAATAATGTTTTACTTGGCAGCTTTGTGACGGCTACAGCACGAAGCTGGGCAACATTTACAGTGAGAAGCCTTAAGCGGGGTTCCTCTTTCGAAAAGTGCATTTTGTGTTTTGTTTCCCCCCCATGTCTGCAGCTGCCTGTTTTGTCCACGTTTTATTTCTGACCTTGCACTCTGTGTGGTGAGTTTGCCCCCAAGTGCCCTTGGTAGTGAAAAACTTGAGGCAGAGGAGGATGTAACAGCAGAGGTCACGTCTGAGCAGGAGAAGGTCACTCCACGTGGTGTCCGCCCGTGAGCCGAAAGCAGCACTTTTTCTGGGTCCGACGTAGAATCACTGGGAAGCATTCTCGTGTGGAAGACCGGTGTCTTGCAGAAGGCCTTCTTTTCTAAATAATGTTCCCGTCTTATTGCTTTGCACCACTCTCTCTTTGCTATATGTCAATCCAATTAGCAGCTCTCCTGACATATTTGGCATAATTTACGAGAAGTGTTAAAAAGCACTTCATGATGAGCTTCCCGAAAGCTCTGGAAGGAACTGAGGCTTGTCGTTGTAAGCCACTGACCCTGGGCTACAGAAGACCTTCCACGGTACGGGCAACAATGTAGCCCAGTGTAGCGCTGTTTTCACCTGTGCTGTGGGGAACACGGCTCGCCGTGAGGCAGGAACAGAGCCAACCACAGGCAGGAAGAACCCCACACTGAGGAATTGGAAACAAGAGGAAGGAACTTGCTTCAGACAGAAACCTCGTATTCCATGACCAGAACCTTCCGTGGCACTTTAGTTAGTATATAGTGATGATTGGTTCATCATTCTGGTGCAACACTGAAGGACATCCGAAAATGTATTCATGATTTGAATTTGGCTTTAAAAGACAGATACATACTCATGGAATTTTTAGCATCTGCCTAAAAGTACATAATGTTTTCAAAATGCTGTACATTTGGGCTTTTTTTCCTTAGAGAATGGAACCACAGTGTAAAACAGAACAATTTCTAATTTGAGTGCGTGGAAGGTGACCTTTGATGCACCTAGATTGTATTTCTTATTTTCTGACCTGAGTAGATGTGGGTTTATCCCCATTCCCTTTATGACCTCTCCGTTTTAAATCTAGGTCAGATGTTCTCAAACCTTAATTTTGATAAATAATGTCAGAGCATGGATGAACCTTGAAAACATTATGCTAAGTGAAAATAGCCAGATATAAAAGGTCACCTTGCATGATTATATTTCTATGAAATGTCCAGAACAGGCAAATCCAAAGAGACAGAAAGCAGGTTGGTGGTTGACAGGGACTGTGGGGAGGAGGGAATGAGAAGTGATGGCTTAATGGGTATGGGCTTTGTTTGGGGGCTCAGGAAAATAAATGTTCTGGAACTCCTAGTGGGGACAGTGGTACAATATTATGAATGTTGTAGCAGCTACTACATGGCATACTTTTAAATGGAGGACTCTGTTATGTGAATTGTACCTCTATTTTTTAAAAAAAAATCACCTGGAGGGCTAATTAAAACACAGGTTGCTGGGCCCCAACCCCGAGTTTTTCTGACTCGGTAGGTCTGGGTGGGGCCTGGGCATTTGCTTTTCCAGTAGGTTTCCAAGTGATGCTGATGCAAGGACCACACTTGGAAAAATACCGATCCAGGCATATGGTAGGCAGCAGGAGGTTATGTCCTTCATGTTTTTTTTTTTTAAGATTTTATTTATTTATTTGACAGAGAGAGATCACAAGTAGGCAGTGAGTAGAGAGGCAGGCAGAGAGAGAGAGGGGAGAAAGCAGGCTCCCTGCCAAGCAGAGAGCCCGATGTGGGGCTCAATCCCAGGACCCTGGGATCATGACCTGAGCTGAAGGCAGAGGCTTTAACCCACTGAGCCACCCAGGTGCCCCTGTCCTTCGTGTTTAAATCAGCACATCAAGGATGTATTGGTCACTGGCCATGTTCTTGCTGTCCCCTCCCGGTAATGCAGTGTGTGCGGACCTCCATCATGAGGAAAATGGGTTTTGAAATAACTGAACTTGGAATCAAATCCAGGGTCTTCCATCCCCTAACTGTAAACTCACAAAGCAACCTTTCATCTTGCTGGCAAAATGAGAACAGTCCTACGTGTCTCACTGGTTTGCTTGGAAGTTTTAAGTCCAAAAGAAAAAAAGTATAAAAGGAGAAAGAAATATTACTGAGAAAGCACCCACCATGCCACCCAGCTTAAAGAAGGTTCTCAATATATAGTTATTTTTGAAAATATGTAGATATGTTAACCGAATATAATTATTTTTATATGAATCCTATGTTAGATGGATAAGCATGTGTGGTATATTTATGCATATGTAAATATGCATCCATAGTTTATTTCTATGGATGGAGAGGTGGTGTGGGGCATGGGTGTGTCCTGTAGCTCCCTTGGCAAAGGCCCTACAGGGGGACAGTGGGAAGGGCTCCAACCACATTTGGGATCCTCCTCAGAGCTTGGATTATCATAGACTCTTGGAGACTCCTTCTTGAGTAAGGAAGTGGGTAAGTGATTCCATGAAAGAGTAGTGAACACACTACCCAAAAACTTTAATTCTGCTGTCACCCAAAGCTCAGAGGCAGAGTTGGTACCTAGGAAGTAGGGTGATGAGCTTGGCTGTGCCAAGCATCTTCCTGATGTCATTCTTTTCCTTGTGACTGAATTGAAGAAATCGCCATCTTACTAATCACTGGGCTGATAGATACATCCTGTCCGTGGGTTCTTGACACCGTGCTGGGGAGTTGCTTCTATACCTCGTTCATGGTCCATTGGCACATTTTTCATCAAGATGAATGAACCGTTCTTTGACTCCTTAAACCAAGACCTCAACAGTTCACTGGACATTCTGCAACCAGTGGCTGTTTGGATGTAAACATTTTCAAATATACGTCGATTAGAGTTGTATCAAAGGAATCTAATATTTGGTGCCATCAAATTCCCTTTGGAGATTTGTAATCATTTTAACTCACTGATTACTGTTTATTGGAGGAAGAGCCATTGGGTTAAGTATAACTTCAGATATTCTCTATTTGCTTATCATTCAAAAATAGTTTGCTTGGGGCAATTGGGTGGCTCGGTCGGTTAAGCGTCCAACTCTTGGTTTCGGCTCAGATCGTGATCTTAAGGTCATGAGATTGAGCCTCATTTTGTGCGAGGTCGTTAAGCCTTTGTTCCTGGGGATGAACAGTGGACACGCGGGCAGGTATCGTCAGCGGGTGCCATGAACACCTGCCTGTCCTGTGCCTTGACAGCTGACTGTTCCAGCTCTTTCCACAGGTTCCCGTTCCCCATGGTGTTCAGCAGCTGTAGCAAGAAGGACCTGGAGGTCAGCCTGGAGAAGGGCGTGGGGATGTGCCTCTTCAACCTGCCGGAAGTGAAGCAGTCTTTTGGGGGCCAGAAGTGTGGGAACGGCTATGTGGAACAAGGGGAGGAGTGTGACTGCGGGGAGCCCGAGGTAAGAGACTCGTCCCGGAACCGTGGTCTTGTGGCCGCGGCTCACAAAGCAGTGTGTGTGTGGAAGAAGGATGCTGCAGAATGAAAGTGCTAGGAACTCGGGAGGCAAAGTCCTAAACGGCCACCTCAAGCAGCCACACAAGCCAAGGTAGCTCTCTTGAATTGTGACAATGGTGGCTCTGGTTGGAAATGTTAAAGAATCTTCTGTGTTGAAGGATACTGTGTAGGGGAGGGGAGCTGAGGACAAGAACAATGGAGAAGCATTTAGCTTTGAGTTTAACAGAGAAGAAAGCTGAGGAATGCTAGCCTCAGATGGCTAATAAGCGTCATTTCTTTCTAAGGCGAGCAACCAGAGGGGAATTTGAATAAGCAACATTCATTTTGAACGAAGAGCTCCCGCCCCCCCCCCCCCATTGCATCTCTGCCTGATGCACGGCCACCTTTGTATGCACGAGCCGAGGCTCTGGGCTTCTGCCTCCTCCCTCATTAGCTTTCAGAAGCAATAAGCCAAAGCAGGAAACAGATTTATCCAGCAAAGGGCTTACTTAACCCTGTTTCCCAGCCAATGTCAGGAAAATTTCTTGTTTCTGTAGGGCCCAAGATAAAGTTAATCAATGTAAAAATTATAACAACCACTTTCTGATCTCTGAATGATCTTGAGCAGGAAAGAGAAAGACAGGACAAAGTGAGACCTCCTGGTAAAAGCAAGTGCCTCCTGGAAGCTCGGAGGTTGTGTTTAGAATAAATCAAAGCGAGCTATTTTTATCGCAGGACTTCTGCATGTGGGATCCCCTCCCCAAGACCTGATGCCAGCTTCAAGGGCAGACGGATTCAAGGCGGGCTTCACTGGATGGACAGACAGGCTTGGCGAGGGCTCAGGAAGAGCATGTTTGGGAGAGCTGATCTAAAGGGGGGTGCTGGGGTGGAAGGAAAGGTGCAGAAACCTTGGATTCCTGGGTTTATCAGACAGGCAACTGATTGTAGAATCTCCTTCATCTGCCTAATCTCCCAGTCTCTGTGATTTCGCAAACCAGCGGGACCCATCTTGGACTCAGTCTGGCCATTTCTGCAAGAATGTCAGGAGTGAATAAGTACCAGGGGATGGGGTTTGTAGGGGCAGTCCCGTCAAATGTCTGTGTGCCCTTTCCAAACCCGGGATTCATCTCTGATAGCAACTCTGGTCCAGAGCAGCAGGAATTGTGGTCCCAATGTGCTGGGGAGGATGGCTGTGCGGGAGCAAGACCTCAGGCATGGGGCTGTAGAAACTCTTCTTCAGGTTAGTGGAGGAGCACTTGAAACTGTCATGGGATGGGGCATGCAAAGGGGAAATTCCATAGAGTTTTTGTTAATTACCTGAAGAAGAAAAACAAAATTAGTTTAAATTACCCGTAGTTCTCAGGAGAGGCCATGCGGACTTCAAACGGTTTGTCTTTGATTTGAACTCCTCGTAATTGCTTGTTTAATCTAAATAAATTTGACAACTCTTCTTGGAGTCATGAACTCTCAGATTTAGAATGACCATTAGCAGTGACTTGCTCCGTATTCAGGTATCAACACCGGCCCTGCTGCCACCCTCACCACCATCATCACCCTCCCATATCACCCTACCATAACCACTGTCCTCCTCATCACTGCCATCCCTACCATCCCCAGCACCACCGCCATCCCCACCACCAGTACCCCACCACCATCACGTCAGCAAATGTTTGAGTGCCCGCAACTGGCCAGCCATGGCCGTGACCCTCCACGTCCCCTCCATCGAGGAGGCGTTCAGCTTTAGGAGGGTGCTTACTATCTCTCCAGGCAGGATGCAGTATCGCAGGGCAGCGCCGATTAAATCCGACTCCTTCCTCGTGGAGAGCCACATTCCAGCTGCACATAGTTCCCAACTGGGTATGTCTGGGGTTAGGGTCCTTACTTCACAGGGTAATTTCTTGATATTTGAAGAGAACTGGCATTCTCCTAGTCCAAAATCCTTTTGTCCAAGAACTCTTTCTTGGACAGTCACGGACTGTCCAAGTCATGGACGAGACTTTTGCTTCAATTTGCAGTTCTACAGTTTTTGCTTTTCAAACTGCGTCTAACATTGTAGCATCCTACAGTACCCAGTTTCCAAACCACTGCGGCCAAAGCTTACAGTCACAGCTGGGCTCAGTTCGCCAGGGCTCTTTGTGTCCGTCCCCAGTGCTCAGGCACTGGAAGTACTTGTTACCCCCGTGCTTCTATTGGCCCGCGTACCCCCTCACCCATAGAGGGACTTGGTGTCTCACCACATCAGCAAGCAAATGGGATCAGAACAACTTCCCCAGCTCACAAGTGGACCTGGCTTCTGCCCCTTTGCTCCCAGAAATAACCTCCACTGTTTTCAAGAAGCAGCGCCGTAGACATGCCAGTGCGCTGCAATGAAGAACCGGGTCCACTGCCCACACCCAAGAATGACAGGGTCTTTGCAGCATCCTCTAATGGCTTCATTATTCTTTTTTTCTTTGGAGACCTAGTGTTCATTGGCTCTGTTGAATTTTGCTATTGAGTGCTAAGTTAATACGTATATCAGCAGAGGAAGAATGTTTCTCTTCTGATAAGTACAGTCCTGTGGAAGAAAGAGATCCTGGGTTGTGACAAAGGCAAGTGACTGCTGAAGCCTTCCGTGCAGGGCATGGATTTACATCCACCATAAGGATGTCCTGACAACTCACTCCTTCATCCGGCTAACAGGGTTGGGAAAGCAGCCCTGCCTCCTTGTTTAAAGTCAATAGAACGCCAGTAGCCTGCAAATATCCATTAAACTTAGTTATCTTTCTCACATTATCAATCCCCTTTGAAGTCAAAGCCATGCCGCTTGGCTGCGTTTCCATTTGAGCGGCTGCTTATTATAGTATCTGGTGGTTTGATCGGAGGTGGGGGGAGGTAGTTCTCAACGATCGTAGGACCCAGGACCCAGTATTCAGAGGGCTGATTTAACTTAGAAGCTCAGGGAAATCTGTGATTTGGTTAGTGTGTCATTAGTTGAGCCATTTAGACCTTAATGTGCAGCATGACACTGCTGTATATTTGATGACACTGATCAGGAATGCAATCAGTCGACTCCTTTAAAAAAAAAAAAAAACAACTTCCTAAATTTTGTAAGATTGTAAGTCCATGAGTTAGAAACCCTTGCCGTCTTGAAAATTACAGCTATGACTTCTGGTTGGCACTTTTATCTTATTGTATATGTTATATACTCCGGATGTTTATAAAGTCCTTGAGCAAATTTAAAATTTAATAACTCTGGATGTATGTGTAACAGGGGCAAATGATAAACACCACATGAGAGCAGAATTCACAGTCTTACACAGGGTACAGTTCAGAGATCTAGGATAGTCCCAAACCTTCTGGATTATCAACAAAATTTTGTTAATTGTGTTTATAATCCTAACGAAAAACTCATTTGCAAAAGATGGTTTTCAGGACTAAACGACTTTACTCTTAAAACAGTACATGGTTGGCTTCCCTCTAGCTAATAGTGTATACATTCTTCTGCTCATGTCATATACTAAATAGAAGGACATTGATAAATTAATCCTAAAGACCCTATGACCTCTTCCTTCTTTGTTTTTTTTTTTTTAAGATTTATTAATTTATTTGTTTGACAGATGAGATCACAAGTGGGCAGAGAGGCAGGTAGAGAGAGAGAAAGGGAAGCAGGCTCCCCGCTGACCAATGTGGGGCTCGATCCCAGGACCCTGAGACCATGGCCAGCGCCAAAGGCAGAGGCTTAACCCACTGAGCCACCCAGGTGCCCCTGACCTCTTCCTTCTGATAATTCAGTTTCTTCTAAAAGGTGTGAAGTCCAGGTTATTGGGATATCCTAAAGTCCTAGGACTTCATGCTTACGCTAGGCACTATGCGTAGACCTTTTGTAGACAGCTAAGCGAAGATGTCCATCCCCTGTAGGGTTTTTTGCTAGAAAAAAAAGCAGGTTCTTGTGAAGAACAGCTTGGCAAAGGAGGTTTTCTCTCATTTTAGAGAGAACAATGCATGTAATATTTGATCTAACTGTTTAAATCCCTTGCAAGTCAGCGGGCACAGGACCTTCCAGTAATCTAGGTCGTTATGCATTTCCGACCTGCGAGGTACCTTGTCAGGTGGGGCAGCCCCGCTGGGCCGAGCAGGAGTCTTGGCTACAGCATTTGGTGGGATCGCAGGGAACAGTGGTCTGAACACAACCGGGGGACTTCACGCCCTGCCAGCGTGCTCCAGATGAAGAGGGCCAGTCTTTGAAAGAGTTCCGTTGGTGCACGTCTCTGTGTGTTTCTAAGTCAGCTCCAAGCTTGCTGGTGATCCCGATACAGTTCGCTGTGGGGAGACCTGCCACATCCGCGAGCTTGGCCGGACTCGGTAGCCAGGCTTCCTGCAGGTTCCCTGCCTGCACCCCCGCCAGAGGCACTGAGGGCCACGGACTCTTCCCGGGGGCTCACCCCGTCCATTCAAAAGCACTTCCCAGAGGCTGGGCTTTGTCACAGATGAAGTTCCTCTCGGCCAGGCTGGTTTTCAGCTCAAGGGCCAGGCCCTCTGGTTCTTCCTTCCCTTTATGGGTCCCGCCTTCTGTGAGTAGTTGTCCCCTACGACCTGCGGCCGTGTCACATGGAGCGCACCCCCCTCTGCAGGGATGTGTGAATCTTTGCTGCAACGCCAGCACGTGCACCCTGAAGCCGGACGCCGTGTGTGCCCACGGGCTGTGCTGCCAAGACTGCCAGGTGAGTTCTCTCGGCCCGAGGCCACCCCCAGGTTCCGCAGGTTCCTCTCTGGGGCAGGACACAGGACACCTGGGCTGTGAGAATGGTGGCCCCTGACCGCACAAGCCGGTGTCCCCCACCACCTCCTCTCACCATCACCCTCGCACACTTGAGGACTACATCAGCTGTGGTAAGTTATTTATTTGTGGGGTGAAAGCAACGCAGCCAGAAAAACTCCGGCTCAGTCTTAAATGTGCCTTTTGTGCCATTGGAGGTGTGTGACGTCCCCAGTAATGGGACCAACTGGGGAGCCGGGCCCGACCCTTGTCACTCCACCCCTGCTTTACCCCAGGAGCACCTGCCTGCGGGGCCGAGAAACTGTGTGGGCTCCAGGGGTGCCACGTCAACATCTGGATCCTGCCGTCCTCCTAACACAGGGCACCAGCTGGCCAGCCCAGCCCACCGCACCAGTTTCCGGCTTTGGCTCTTCCTGCCACCAGGACTGGGTTCATTTTGGCAATTCCAGGGCCTGTCTCATTACTCAGAGCCGAGATCTGGAAGCCCGAGATTTTGATTCAAAGATTCCAAGGGTGGACTTTATATCTTTCTAAATTAAGCAATTGATTTTGGCCTTCTGCTCGCAGGAAACTCCGTCTTAGCTCCCCCGCTAGAGCCCGGTGGGTCACAAGGGCGTGACACAGCTTACGTCCGGCTTGACATATCCCTCCTGCCCTTTCTACTTGTGACTAATTTCTGGGGGATTGTTCAAGGAAGCGGGTGCTCCTGGCACACAGCTCCTGGCAGGGAAGAGTGTCGGGGACGAGCAGGGGGGAGGTCACTGGCTGTGCGGCCTCTGACCAGCCACTCTGAGCCCTTGTGTCTTCAACCATATAACGGTGAGGCATTGGCCGGCAGTTCCCAGCCTCTCCTGTTGCTGCCTTGCTTCGTCCCTTCTCTCCTCCACAACCATGGGGTCTTGCAGACAGGTTTCCAGCTCCACAATTTGATGACAAAGTGAAACATTATTGTGACTGTGAAACATTATTGTGACTGAGCCCTTGGGATGGTTTCTGTCATCTGGGCACAGCGCTAACCCCATAGGTACCCATATCATCATAAAACACGTAACAGTGTTGGCCACCAGAGATCTTCCTTCCAAATGAAGGAGCCCATCAGCCCGCACTCCCTTCCCACCCCTCCTCTGAGGGAGCAGGTACCAGCCAGCAGCCTGTCCGCTCAGCAGAAAACCCTAATATTGCATGAAATTAAAAAGAAGCAACTCTTGACTTCATCCCCCTCCACCCCCATAGAAGGTGAACCCCAGAGCCCAGGACAAGGATCTGTTTACTTAATGACTCTCTGGGTCTCTCTTGCTTTGGAATCCTTGCCCTTTTATGTGAGGCTTCATGAGGATGGCCTTGCTCCATTCTGCCCCAGGGGCACTGCTGGACAGCCGCTCCCCCTTTCCCGCAGCGCATGTGCTATAAACAGCCTCTCCTTCCAGCTCAAACCTGCGGGAACAGCGTGCAGGGACTCCAGCAACTCCTGCGACCTCCCAGAGTTCTGCACAGGGGCCAGCCCGCACTGCCCCGCCAACGTGTACCTGCACGACGGGCACCCGTGTCAGGGGGTGGACGGCTACTGCTACAACGGCATCTGTCAGACCCATGAGCAGCAGTGCATCACGCTCTGGGGACCAGGTAGGTGGCTGCCACCAGTGGGCTCAGAGCAGTGGGTTGGGGAGCTCACTTGTTTTCCAGAAGCTCCACTCCTGCCGTGTTCCATCTACAAAGCTCCCTTCCATTCAGCTGTGGTGATTGGCTCCCTGGTAGGTCTGGGGCCGTGCTGGGCACTGGGCAGGCAAAAATGGATGCTTCCTAGAACCTCTCCTGAGGGCTTACTGTGGTCCAATGAGGAGAGATGTGTCAGCACTTACTGTGTGCCCTAGGGAGTGACAGGGAAGAATCAGCCATGAACCCTGGCCTCAGATAGCTTAACAGGTAGTTGGACAGACAACTGGAACCTTCCATCCACTCTGATTATGTGTAAGTGCTTCTTGGTGCTCAAACAAGGACCCCAGCCGGAGTCTGGGGGTGCCAAAGAGAGTCACTGCAGACTGGATGCATGAGTTGTCTGTGACCAGGAGGGACAGGGAGAGGTTGTTCCTGATGCAAGGAGCAGCAAACTGGCCCTGGGTTGGGAAGGCACACAGAAGGAACTGCTGGGATGGGAGGCCTGGATATCAGAGCTCAGAGAAAGAACATGGACACAGGTGTTTAAGATTTTTGAAAGCCATTTTGGTTCTAAAAGCTGAGTGATGGACTTGTGTGTTCCAAAAAAGGCACCAGGGCGGGCAGGTAGCTAGGAAGCAGCTGCTGGGGTAATTAGAGTCTGTCGACTCACTGCTTCCTGTGTAGGGGAAGCCAGGCCCAATGTGCAGTATGACTTGTCCCTTCTGACTTGAACTTAGAGATAGGGACAATGGCTACAGTTTAGAGAAACCAAAGCCCCAAGTCAGAGACTGGAAGTCAATTTCGTGAAGTTGTGATGCTGGGATTTGAACCGAGGCCAGATGACCCAAAGGCCATAGAAAATGCACACATGCAGTCACACCAAAGACCAGGTCTAGAACAAAGCTCTACTGTCCCAACAGATGCTTGGATGCAAAAGGGAATAATCAGTCCCCCTGGACACGTCTCTCCTCTGTTGACCCATCTTCGGGGGCCAGAGGTCCAGGGGCCTGGGGGACAGCCAGGGCCCAGTAGACTCCCCATCCCAGGGTTTGCTGCCTCTGTCCAGCTCCAGGATTCCAGTAATAAATCCCATGGAGAGCACTTTCTAAGAGTGCGGTCCCTACCCTGCCTGTCATTGTCCCTCCCGCTGCCTTGCAGACATGACCTCAGCGCTGGCCAGGGACACCAGCCATGGCAAGACAACTGTGGTCAGCCAGGCAGAGAGCCAGGCAAGCTCCAGAGGCAGGGAAATCTGATATGGGCCTCTGTCAAACGTTCATTGTGAGGGTTTGGTTTCAGGAGTGAGGAGGACAGTAAACTAGGGCAGATACTCATAGCTTGGGTTTTCAGTGTGATGTGAAAGCCGTGAGCAAGCAGGGAGAACGGGGACAGAGGTTTCTGAGGGTCAGGTCTGTCACGGAGCCCACCGCCCCACCAGCCAAAGATACCCCTCCATACTTGGGCCTCCCTGAGGGGCGAGAGGAGCAGCACAGATGCAGCATAGAGGACCTGAGGCGGCCTTTTTGTCATATCTGTGGGGTGTTCTCCCAGTGCTCCTCAGATTTCATGGGTCCATGGGCACAGGAGGTGGGGGTCCTGTGGTATCTGGGGCCTTGTGCTTCATCTCTGGACCTGCCCAGCCCTCTGTCTGGCCTCCTCACCAGCTGGGCCAGGGGACCCCAGGCCAGGGTGGGATCTCTCGATCTCACACTGGGTGAATGCCTTGCGATGACAAACACAAAGAAGACACTCACTATACACCGTCGAGTGGCCGGATGGGCTCTGAATGGTTTCGTGACTTCAGACACCTTTCTGCCAAGTGAGGTCACTTTAGGACAGTGGCTACTGCTTTAGGCCCAGACCTCGAGGCCTAAAGCCTCCCTCGGGGCTAGTCCTTCCCAGCCTTTCTCCGGACTCTGCAATCTCCCGATTCTTGAGTTACAGGGGATGTTACAATGCTCCCTTTCAAAAAAGCATTCTGTGGCCAGAGCACACACAGCACTTGGAGCTTTTGGAGTAAAATATGCTCTTTGGTGCCCTGCTGTATTACGGCGTCTGGCCCCGTTTCCCAAGTGAGGTCAGATGGAACTCCGAGGCTCTCTCCACGCCACCGCCACTGTGTGACTCAGCTGGCCACACGCCTCAGATTCCTGGTGACCAAGGCTGGTATTTATTATCTCATCAGATTAGTCCTTCTCAAGCTGCCGGACCAGAGAGAGCGAGCCAGATGGGCAGGCACACTGACAACCTGAGTCATGCCTGAGCTTTTCAAAAGCAAGAGCACCCGGACGTTACCTCCTTTGAATTCTCAGCCTCCCTGTGGCGGCTGGTGAGGGGGGCGGCCTGACCGCCTGGGGGCCTGCACCAGCTGCTGTAGAGGGCTGTGGGTCTGCAGCTCCCAGCCTGCCTCTTCTCTCCCCGGCCTCCCCCAAGGACTGAGAGAGTCACTGCACATAGACTAAGCCTCCCTGGCATCAGTGGTGTTCGGAGTTCCTGGAAGTGACGAGCTTGGGGTCTTACCTCAGCCCCGTTACTTCCCAGGTTCGCTGTACTTCAGCCAGTCCTTTCTTGGTCCCTCAGATCACTGGACACACTTCCTCGGGAGGGTCAGAAACAGCCGCGGCCCCCACAGTCCTCAGAAGGGCCTTTGACCACCTCCTCTGGGAATGCAGTGTGCTCTTTCCTTCTGTGTCCGTGCAGCTGCCCATTGTCTTGTTCAGGGGCACAGTTCGGGTTTCCTGTGGCTGCTGGAACTAATCGTCACAAACGTGGTGACATACGCCAGCACAAATCTGTCATCTTCCAGCTCTGTGGCTTGGAAGTCCTCACATGATGGTGTTGGTGATGCAGTGTTACTCTCGCAGGCTTGTGGGGAGAGGACACTTCTCTGCCTCTTGAGGCTTCCTGAGGCTCCTGCTCTCCCGGGCTCACGGCGCGCCTCCATCTTCAAGGCCAGCAGCACGCATCTGCCGAACTTGGCCTCTCTCCGGCTTTTCCTTCTGCCGTCCCATCTTCTTCTCTGCATCGGACCCTCCTGCCCCCCTCTTAGAAGGGTCCCGGGATCCTGTTGCTCTGATCCAGACCCTTCAGGAGAAACGCCCCTCCCCAAATCGTTAAATTCATCACATTCTCAAAGTCCATTTTACCATGTGAGGGGACATACTCACAAATTCTGAGGATTAGGATGTGGGACTCTTCGGGGGCCGTTATCTGTCTACCATGGGCGTTGAACAGACCACTTGCTAACGAGGTGACCTTCAACAGACTACTCGACCTCAGGCCTCAGCTGTAAACTGGGGATTGTAGTTGGGTTAGCCCACGGGTATCCTGTTGTCCTCGAACACAGCCTGTGACCTCTTGTGTGTGCTGCATCACGTGCAGTCGCGTGCTCGGTGTATGGCGCCTCGGAAGTCTGAACTCTAGAAGGAGGCTCTGACTGAGCCCACAGGAAGCTCATGGACCAATGAGCCTGTGTCCTGGGGCTGGTGTGAGTGCTGGGAAGTGGCGGACCATGGAGTGGGGCGTCCTAGATGAGGTGGCCCTGGAGACACCGTTTGGCAGGGGTGGGAGGGGAAGGGTACTTCCTGCATGCGGAACAGCAGGGGTCAAGGTGCCCAGAAACACCAGTGGGGGGGGGGGGGGGCGGCGGGCGTTCCAGGGAACTGCAGGCAGTTGGGCTTGTCCAGAGCTTGGATTGTGACCTGGAGAGCAGAGAGCCTCACTTCTCACCCCGTTCTCTCATTTATTACATATTCCTCGGTGTCCAGCTCTTACCAGATGCTGCTGACTCGAGAACCTGATTCTGCCAGAGGAACAGACTTCCCAGCGTCCCTCTGCGCTCTCGCTTGGACCTGGAGGAGAGTTGGGATGTGACCCTTGCGATCCCAGGGGCGGGGGTGACTTCCACAGCCAGGCCCCCAGCCAGCGAGATGCACGGGGCTGAGAGCCTTCTAACGCTGCGTTACGGTGCTTGGTTTAAATTAGCTTCCCATGATTCAGGGAGGGAGAACTTCTTGTCAGGAACACATTTGCCATATTTCATTTCCCCCACGGTTAGCAAATGCTCTGGGCTCTGGACTACATTTGCTGGAGGGCCATTTTCGCTCCCCTCTGAGGCCCGATGACTCAGAGCTCCAGGGTCACTGGGCTCCTGCTTGCTGGCCCGTGCCATGTGCGCCCCAGTGACTGGACAGAACTGTCGAGTCATCCGGAAACGTCCAGTTACGCTCAGGATGTCCATCCGTCTCCAGGCCTGGCTGCCAGAGCGCTGGCCGGACAGAGCCTTCCCTTCCAGCTCACTTATTCCCTTTTGAAATGGACTTTTCTCAACCCGGCGTTGGATTTCAATAAACTAATCCTGCTTCCAAATCTTTCTACAAATAGAATGATAGAAAATTCAAAACATATGCCTGCAACCAACTCTTTGCTAGCAATGTAATACCCTTTTAGAATACCTTTTGGGGTTTTCGTTCATTTGTTTCTTTTCCTAAGTAGTGTTGATAATGTTCTTGCTGGCGAGGAGTTTAAATTCTTCCCCTCCCCGCCGCTGGCCCCCCAATTCTTCTTCCACAAATGTTGTATCTCAAGGCCTTGTGGGCTGGTGTCAGGCACAGAACTGTTATCTGCAGTTCAAACTGTGGCCTGCGCTACACCCCCTTTGTCCAGTTTGGTTTTAATAGCCACAAAGATTTTCTGTCCCTGTGACATGACCTTTATTCCTTCTGAAATACAGCTGGATATTTTTCTTCAGGCAGAAAATTTACTTTTGCCAACGTTGTTTATCTGAACCATGGTTACTGAAAGCGTTACTTGGAAATTAATCTTACGGATAACTACATGTCTAGAGCCACAAACAATTTGCATCAGGGAAGTCCTGAAATATGTTAGTTTTATCTATTTTATCACTCACCAGAAAATAGTGTCACTTGATTTATGCAGTGTGAGCTGGCCAGACAGTTTTTATGGGC